TTCTCCCACAGCTGTATGGATTTCAGCTTTTCAAAGTCCAGTTTCATTCAGTCTGTCAACACAGGAACTTATATTCGGCATAAAATCTTTTTGGGACCACAAAGGTATAATTTTATAGTTAAATACATCACATTTTTCTGGGAAGACTTAAAGGCAGAGGGTAATGGAGACAGATTAGGATTTGGCATTTTATCAGACTCTCAAGGAATCTCTCCCTGAGTAAACTCTGTTTCACTGGGAATATTTATTGTTCAGGAAGCAACACTTAAAATTTTCCTTGCCCTGAAAGAATTCCGCAGAATCCTATAGAAGGTGGTGTATCACCCCAAATAAGACTTCCACTAGCCTGATACTACGTATAACGATGTATCCTTCTTCCATGAAGAAGGCAGGCATAAGCAAATACTTCTAATAGGGAATTACTCTTTGAGAATAGGACATAGAGATTTTAGTTACAGGGAGTAGAAGACTAATAGACATGAATACAAAATTGGAATGGATAAAATACTTATCCCGGTGTATTTTGAAGATAATCAGTTCCCGTTTTGTTAGCATGTCTTAGAGATGACTTATTTTCAGATAACTACCTTTCACAATTTTAGATTCCAGAGGAATAAGATTCCCAGAAGTTCAGGGATTCCTTTTACTAAATTGACCTTGAAGAAAAGATCTGTTTCATTCTGTGCCTAGGCTCTTCCTTTCCTGTCTCCCCTTATCGCTTCTGAGAAGCCAGTGCCATCAGTGACATTCACTCCGCAGGCTCGGTGCTCCCTGCCAGCTTGCCTGCCCTGCAGACGGTGGGCAGGAGGGCAGGAGGAAACCTCCTTGCGCGGGCTGGGCACAAACTTGTTCTAAATGTTACTCAAAAATCCTAATCTGAATCACGATACCAGATATCCATGCATTTATTAAGAGCAAATACAGCAGACAACTAATGCTGCACTTTTGCTATTATTCAAACCTGCTGCTAACAATGAAGAAGATGATGTCATTCCCTGGATGTGACAAAGGACTAATATTATATGCAGTAAAAACAATGAGTCAACAGTTTCTATGCCCTTGAGGTCAAAGCATGCAACAGTTTTGAAAGTAGACTGTTGTCTTTGTGCACAGAGCTTGTAGTTGTATATCAATAAAAAAATGTGTAAAATCAAAATATAATTAAAAAAAAATTTTTTTTTAGTTTCAATCAGTGTTTTAAACTCAAGCTAAAAGTCCAATTGAAATATCTTATAACATAAACTAACTGACACAAATTTTCTCCAGATATGTTAAGTATAACATTGCAAAACACTTTTTTTTGTCAAAAATACATTATCTATGTTAAGTTATAATTTGTACGATCTTGAGAGGCACTTGGCAATCACAATTCCCAGTAATGTTAGTAAGAACTGTGAGTATTAATGTGGCAACTAAATAATATGAAATGTTCTGGAGATATTTTGTAATGGTTTGAAAGATAAGAAAGACCTTTTGCATGGAAATATGTTTTGAGAGACAATAGAAAGCAAGGAGTCTAACAACCAAAGTTTCCCAGATTTTCTGGAATACCCAAGGTATTGACCAAATCCTGGCCATCGTTAACCACAGCTGCATCTAGCTCAGGCTACTGCAAGAAATGCCTAGTGTTGATATAGATCCTTTCTTCAGCAAATCTAAAATCATTATGGAGGATTATTATCCTCTTCATGCAGTCAGTGAAACTGAAGCACAGAGAAGTGGCAGCTCAAGGTCATTTAAAAATCAGGAGAGTTTGGAAAAGAACCCAGATTTCTCAATCCCCGTCCAGCACTCTGCCCACTGGGCTTCGTTGCCTCGCTGAGTATCTGCTCGATACAGCTCCTTTTTGAAACCAGATATAATTCAACAACTTTGAGAAGTTTTCAATTCGTCATATTGTTGTCTATAATCATTTTATTTTGTGGAAAAATAGACTTGCCTAATGAGACCAGGCTGCTGACACACGATCGAGTGAGTGCAAGGGAACCCCAGGCCAGCTGCAGTCTCCGTTCCTGTTGTCTTTGCAGACCAAATTCAGAGATGGGAGAGCAAACTGCATTATATCTACATGGGCTGCTATGTAGGAAGAAATATAATTTTGCCCGCATTGATGCTGCTGACAGTGTTTTGGATTAAAATGAGCCCTAGTGTGAAATAAACAATATTCAGCATCCTGACAATTAATTGAAATTAAACCTTAGACTCTGAATCCCAAGGAATTTCTTCTGGCATGCTGACAAAGTGCTAGACAAAGTTTTCTCAGTTTATGCTGACCACTTTATTGTGTCACCTAACTGCAAATGGGTTCAGACATAACTTGTACAGTAGATCCCAGGCCCAAGTGATTACTTACCCAAAATAGGGAAGAGCGCATCTGGGAGGCTAGCTGGTCAGCATCCTGACGGCTTCATTGCAGAAGTAAATGCAAGAGGCACGGCTCAATCTGATCTTCAAACTCTGTCGTCTAATGCTTAAGAAACTCTTATCTTCTAGCTATTTAAACCAAATATTTAAGCCCTAAAGATCTCTCAGGTGTTTTAGAGTTATGTCATACTGCTCAAGCAAGATGAGGAAGCTTCTGAGTTATCCAACAGTCACAAGAGCTCCAGGGCTCCGCACGGTTCCTTGCAAGTGACAGAACTCACAGGATTTTAATGACGAGGACTCGTTAGAGCACTTCAGTTGAAACATATGCATTTCCACTAAAAATTCAGTGACAAGTTCCTCATACAAACCCAAACAAAATCAGACAGATTTGAGACAAGGCAAAATGAAGAGACTAAGGTAACTTACAGAATTTCCTCTGGATATCTCAAGCTCATTGCAAATCGTATGGCATGCAGAGTCCGGCATTTTAATTTCCATTGTAATTGATCCTCCATAGTCATGATTAATGACACAATGATTTTGATGTCATGTAAAAGAGTGATGAAATATATTTCCCATGTGAAATAGACAGACATTAGAATCTCTTTTTGAAGTCGTGAGATATTTTTGCAGGCAACATCTCTTACTGCTTAATGAAAGTACTTAGAAAGTACTTTCTATGAAAGCCAACATCTGAGTGTACTGCAGAAAGATTCACGCACGCTGCAGCCGTGTTAGGTGTGCTGTTCAATGGAACACATATATTTGTTCCTTTCCCGTGACTCACACAAATACAAATATATTTAATTATATTAAAGGTGAAGTTATCATTGGTCTATTTAATAAGTAGACTTAGGAAGAAACAATAAACACAGGGGCTCATATCCTACTGTGTTCCAAGAAGGGATCTTTACCTGACCTTTGCTTTTAAAGCCCTGATCCCAGCAACAAACTTTGAAAACTTGCATAACATTAAGTACTGTAAGTACTACTGAAGCTGCTCCTTTGTTAAACAGGATATTACAAGTTTAAACTAGGGACAGACATTCCTATTCAGGAAAATAGTGGTGATCATATTTAAGATTAAACATATCTTCATATTACCTTGTAAATCAAAGCTTAGCTAAGCAGGTGACACTTCCAAAAGAATATTATAATGAGCCCCACCTCAAAAGCAAAGGCATATTAATATTAACCTAGAGGCATCAGCCACCTTATTATTTCAAAATTTTGCTAATATGAGATCTGACAAAACTAAAGTTCAGTGTTGGTCTGACTGTCAGCACAAAAATTTCAGACCAGAAGCATTTATAAATTCATAAAGACAAATGTATTCTTAATGCTAAATAATATGGATAGAAAACAATAAAAAGCTTTTCATGAAATTGTGAAATCATTAGGCTTTGGGCTATTTTGTATATGTGTTTATCACATCACCATTAGATCCGTTAGTAGGTCAATCCTTTACCGTATGTTGCAGTGTCTGTTTAGAACCGCTCATAACTATCATTTCAACAAATGGATTTACACAGTATAGCATGGTATTATTGATCTGCAACAGTATTACAAGCTCCAGGATTATGAACAGGAAAAGTATCAAATGGCACCAACTCTGATTTTCCCCTGCAATACAATTGACATCATGCTGCAATACGGATATAGATATAGCTATGGCCCAGGGTTTTATATTTTTTTGATTTATTAACTTGTTTCACAGTTCTACTGTTACTTTTCTCATGCATTAATACAGGCAAGAATGTTTCATAATATTACCCCCCCCACCCCGCTTTTAGCTGGAAGGCCTTTTAAGAGAACATCATATGCTCTCCTCTAATTATTCCATAAAGTTAAATCTTTGTCTTGTTTTCTCTTCCCTGGTAATTTTCTATTGTTGAGAGGAACAAGAGGGAAACTTTATACCAATTTTAATATATTTTCCCTGGTGAAACAAAGTAAGAAATAGACATAGTACGCATAATATGTTAACTATGTTTTGTTAGTTAGTCTTGCCTGTGTAGAAGAGGTTGGTATACAAAATCTGATAGATGCTCCCTCCCTCTTCTGGACAGATCCATACCCCCTTCCAGGAGGGAACTTGGGAGACCCCTGACGTGACCAGTAATTTTCCCAAGTGCATAGATAGGTCTGAAGTCTACACTGTTAAAGAGAAATGGTGAGAGAGGCTCTAAGAGGGGCTTCAACATATGCCATCTCCAGCTGCAGAGCTGAGGATGAACCCAAATCCCACATCCCGGGAGCAGCAGCAGGAACGTAGGCCTCTCTTCAAGTCAAGGTTGGAACCAATCTGTTCCTGGATTGCAAGAGGGGGCTGGGGGTGTTGGATGGAGAACAGGCCTGTTCCTGAATCCTAATATTAGACAAGCAGGCATAGAGGGAGTTCAGGTAAATGGGTATGGTGGGTGGGCCTTCTCTGAGCTGAAGAAATAGGGCAAGATTTTAAATGGGATAATATTCTTGTAGAATATATAGTCTGCCCTATCAGTTAGGTGGAATTATTACCTACTCACAGCATTCTATATAGCTAGAATGGTATTACTCATTCTCCTGATAGAAACCTAGTACTGTGGTTTTGGTGACACACTGAGAATTTATTTTGATCTTTCTTGTGTTTTCAGGTGGAAATGTACTGTCTCCTTCCTGATCTTGGATTAGAGTCCACACTGAAAAAAACATTTAAAAAGCGATTAAGAATAAAAGTTTATGTGGATTTATTTGTAAATGCTGGTTATGGGCCTCCCATAACGAATCAGCTTTTTTCCTAAAAGTCTTTCTAAGTACCAATCAGGCAATTGTCTATTTTCTCTTGCAAATGCCATATTATGTATGAGTTTTTCAACTAGAATAAAATATTGCTTTTTAAACAGGAGTGGATGTTATCGCTTCAGATGTGCTTATATGTATTTCCTGTGCTTAGATATAGCCTAGCAATAACAATACCGCAATTACCAGAATGTATAATCTATAATGTAGTCCTGTGTAAATCAACACATAGCCGAATGAGTTGCACACATCCTGCAGGATACCACTGCCATTCTAAATTACTTCCGGTTAACGCTGTGCATCTGCAGGATGATTTCTGAGCCATGCTCAGACTGACTCCTAACTTAGAATACTGGAAGTTACCTCTTTCTAAAATTTAATGGGATCTAAATATAGATTTAGGTATAGACATAGAGCTAAAGCGTGTTTTGTTCATGATTGCCTAAATGGGAAACCAGAAAACCAGACTTAGAGGAAAAAGAGTTTTGATGTTTTAAAAATACTTATGGGGTTTCCAACAAGAGCACAAAATCACTGCAAACATTGCAAGGGCAAATGTTCAGGATTTCAATTCGGTTGCTAAATTACTAAAATAACGCATACATGGGTTTTACATATAGTGGAGACTTAAATGTATGATCTCAGACACTCTGCTATTCCCTTTAGAATAAAGCATCATTTCTTCTCTATGTAAAATATCTGAAAAATATACATTTTTGAAAGTGATTTTATGAAGTCAGAGAAAAAGCAAAGTGCAAACTAAGACAGAAATATGTAATTTTAATTGCAACACACAATGCAGCCATACACTCAGAACAATCTTACATGAATACTCTGACTGAATGTCACTGTCGTGATTCAGTTAGTCCAAACTTCAGTTAGTCCAGTTAGTTAGTTTGGACTAACTGACTCAGAAATTAAATGTAGTTGACCTGTTCAGTGACTTTGTACTTTTAGCTAGTTCTCTGATTCTGACTTTTCCAAACAGATGTTAAAAACCAATACAAAGTTTTAAAATAGTCTAAACCACTTTAAAATGTAATTTAAAAACATGATCCTTTAAAAAAAAAAGAGGTGGCAGCTGTGTTATTTGACAAGTTTTAGAATTGGACTCAATAAGCCTCTAACTTTATAGCTGGGGGACAGACCGTCTTTCATGGGTATATGTAATTTCCACTGACTCTCTTACAAGCCACCAGAATTTTAGTATGTTTTAAAATAATAATGTAGCAATGTAGAGGAAATATATTATGCAAAACCTGTTATTTTTCTCTTTCTGATACAGGTCTACCATACCAAAGAGATTCTAGCACGAAGTGACAATCAATGCAGTGCTTGCTTGAAAGGTATTTTAAATTATCCCTTTTTCTTGCTGCTTTTGGTACAAAATAATGTGAATAAATGACTCAAACTTAATCTATCCATTGCAGAAGCTCATAGAGAGTATTTATTGTGTTAACATGCATACCTGCATTGCAGAGGTCATTGAGGGGAGCAGGGCAGGGTAGCAAGAAGCAACCATGGCCATGTGGCCAAGGGTAGCTGAAGAAATGAACACACACGTGCTGAGAGGAATGACCAAGCCCCTCTGCCCTTCAGCTCTTCTGAGACATGCAAGTCTGCTATAAAACACTGTAGCCATTCAGATCCACACAAAGAACTTCTTCCTGTAAGTTTTATTGTCTTTTCTGTACTGGGTGTTTAATTCAGGTACTCATTTTACATTCCCTGTTACTGCCTTTTACTTTCTCTAGTCTGATTTTGTGTAGAAAGATGCTCAGAAACTTGATCACCTGTACTAAACACAGTTTGGGATGGCTATCTTTTTAACCATGATTGAAGAAAAAAGACTACTACTAAATTTTACCTGTATATACTAATCCAGCTGCTCTCATACCAGGTCCCTCTGTAAGCACTTCATACCCCTTTGGAATTAATAGTCAACTGTACATTATCATATGACAGGGTAATGAGGAGCATGGCTATCCCTGGCTGTAGAAAAAACTCTGAAAATTAGGTTACGATGTGCCATGGCCACACTAGGGTGACTGCATGGAAACTGACGTAGCTGAAGCTGAGGATGAACTATTCTGCTTGTCCGAATCCAGGCTGACTCTTGCAGTAGAGCTGAAGCGATCTAGACATACCTCTCCTTGTGCTCTTCATGAGAGGACACATCCGTGGGGCACGGTGTTTGCAGTGGTAACCCTGCTAGGACATACACAGCTCTGCTGGTCTTAGTCTCTACAGATCCAGTTCTTCATTCTTCATCAGCCTGTTTACTTAACCCTGAGCTGTCTCTTCATTTTTGTACACGATTTTGGACTGTCACAGGTGTGTGGGTGTCGCTCCCACTCAGACAGCAGACAGACCCAGCTCTGTTTACGCGAGTGATTTAAAAAAACGTTGCAAACCTGTGATGTCATTAGAAACGCAGATGATATTATGCTTATAAAATAATTATTAATTCTTTAATGATGCAGATACTGTAGTCATAAAAGCAGGCAGAATTATCAAACTATATTGTCTTATTTATTGCTAACTTTTTAGCTGTGGCACCACCTTGTGGACATTGCTACATGGAATGAAAAGTTGACCAGTGGCAACAAAAGCAACTAAACCAGAGCAGGCATTTTTGAAAAACAACAACTATATTCACACATGATCTGCTAAAGCAGAGTAAAATAACTAAATTAAAAAAACGATTCCTAAAAATCCACTTAAGAAATAAAATGTATAATAAATATTGTCATCGGTGTACTCCGTTGTCTTTGCAGTTTTAACCAACTCTTCTGAGCATCAGCCAAGAAGAGTGGTAGCCTTCAAAACTATTTTTGTTCCTTCTTGATTGATTAACTAGCAGCATCTGAACCCCAGTTCTGTTGTTGCTGTGCAAACAGATATGACTTGTGCAAGTATCCCAAGCAACATGACTTGCAATATCAGAACCATAATACCGAACACATGGAGAAAACCTTAGGTCCTACTCCATAAATGTAAACTCAACAGTGAGATTAGTGTCCAAGCTAAGCCATGCCACAAGAAAAATAATCTCTGACAAGAGATGAACTGGTGGATCTTTTAAATGCTTGCTGAAAAACAAAACAAAACAAAACAAAAAATAAATTTAAATTCCACTCTGTTGGCCATTAGATTCCCAGAACAACCTTTCACAGTGGAGATAACAGAATGTTATGGTTATAAGTACTCTATCTGCTATACAGGCAAATCACTAAAGCACAGAGGAGCCAGAATTTTAAACAGAAGGAGATCTCCAAGTTGTGTGCAGCATATATCCACCCTGCGTGTGCCTATCTGAGTAAGCTTGGGAAGCATATTATTAAACATTGAATTGCATTTTCTATTTCTATGTCTTGAAAAAGTAACTGCATACAACTTGTTATTTATGCTAGCATAAAGTGAAGGTGGAGGAGAAGACAAAGACTTGGACCAAGTTTCTCCTCTCTTGGACTGTTAACAGACTGTGCTGAACTCTGCCTGGGGGGAGGATCTCACATGCATAAACCCTGCTGGGGATGAACAGCTTCTGTGTCTTTGGCATAGTATTGGGGCACAGACCCCTCATTTCATGTCTCTTCTTCAAACATGGACCTCTGCAGTCCAAACACGGCAGGCCCTTCAGCTAATACTGACCATACCACAGTCCCTCCCCAAACTCTCCTTAGTAGTATATGAAAGTTCACCCACCAGAGCATTTCCATTTCTAGTTTAACTCTTTGACAAATATGTAACTATTAAAACAAGGCACAGAAACTCTGCAGCCTGTAGCTGAGAAAACTTCTTTTAAGTAGCTGTCTCAGTTGATTTTATTTTTTGCTTTGTTAGACAGTATCTCTTTTTAAATGAAGTTTGTCACAGGTTTCTTTCTTCTCACTTCTTCTGGATTTTTGTGCCTTCACAAACTCTTCCCAATTAATCATTATAGTGATAGGAATAACCAGTAAATCAAGTTTTTGGCTGACAGCCTCAGAGGCTGCTCCACAACTGCCCACTGTCCTTGCGCTGTTTCTAACTGAAACGGAGTATTACAGCAAACATCAAAGTTCACTGAATTGAACGAAATTAATAAATACAGGTAGTTAACAAACTTTTACAGGGATGCTTGCTTGACATGTAAGGTAACTCTTAGAAGAAGTGGTCTAGCATTTGAGAAAACCAAACCACTCTGGGAAGAAACCAAGCACAGAAAAACACAGACTAGCTAAAATCGTATACTGAGCACTGCCAGCCAGGGAAGCAAACTCATCTGCAAATGGAGTTTGCAGATCTTACCCAGGAGCTGTGGCTTACTGGGTTTTGGTGACACGTTACTCACATGGATTCCACAACCTACATCCTTCTCTATCCTTACAGTTATGTATCTTTACTAAAGGAGGTAAATAATCATTGCTGCCACCCACTGCTGCATAGTCTCAGAAGAAGAGGAACGAGGAGTACAGCTAAGGCGTTGGCACGGCCTCTGAAGACTATGTTAGCTGAAAATAATCCGATTTGCAGGTATTGCACCGAGAAAGAAACCTAGACGACAACGAAATTCAGAGTCAAATTTTCTCTTTGTTAAATAACCACTTTTTAGAATAATGTTCATTGCCAGAAAAGTTACCAGCTGAAAAATGAAGACTGGAGTGGACTGGAGTTAAATGGAGTTAAAATAACTAACAGCAACCTTTGAGGTAGTCTATTCCATAATAATGTCACCCTGAAACAGATTATCAGAAAAGATCAGAATATACATCAATATAGATTTTTAGAAAGTTAGTTTACTAAAATGTCATGTAATGTGATTAAACATATTGTTCTGTATAAAGTCTATATTAGAAAACAGTGGAAAACCATCTTTAGCTAACATAGCTAAACATACACAGAGATGGTTGGACCAAAAGAACTTTGGAATTAATGAAAGAAAGCTTGAGCAGAAAATAACAAAATACTTTTTAAAGGAAGCACTTCCATTAATGACGTAAAATGATATGATGTCATACCTGTTTGCGTTCCTGGGCCATCTGAAACAAAATAGCCTGAACACATTGGATGCTACTACATACAATAACGTTATTTTCACATTAAGATTTTTAACTTTCTTGTTTATGTAGATATTTTGAACCATTTACGCTTCATTCTAGAACAGACACTACTCTTGTTGGAACTGGTGTCTTTCCTTTGGGAATAGCAGTATTGTACATGTTTTATGAAAGAACATAGAGTAAAATGCCATTTTTTTCCTTTACTATCTCATAAAATTAAAATATCTTTTAAAACATGACAATGACAATACGATTTTTACAATATAGATCTTTTTAGAATTGTTTCTTAGAAACTCAATTTTATTTTTCAATAAACAAAATTTTGTTTCTTCGTCTCAAAAAGATGAAGCAGTTTATGCTGGTAAAATTGTTTTCCTTTAGTATCTTCATATGGTAAATATTACAGTTATTTTACTTTTTGTGCTCAGTAATTCTCTAGTATAAGTGACTATATCAAATTAACTTAATTATTTGTTGCTGAAAAAACAAGGCATTTGCTACCCCTTATTCATACTGAGTGCAGAGATTCTCCTTCTCCTTAGGCACCGTCAATGTAATTCTGTTCCCCATTGCAATCAGTTGCACTAGTGCAGCCTCATTAATGGCCCTGGATGTATTTGGATGGAAGTTTTCATCCAGAAAATTGCAGCAGCGGTTACTGTAAACCTGGGGTGAATGACACAGAAGAGACTGTGCCAAGTCTATTCTTATATTGAACTCAGTTTATAAAAATATCTTACTTCCTATCTTCTTGAGCAGGTGAAAATGTTGTGTCCATCACATTCAGTTGATTTGCTTTTAGAAAAGAAGCTAATAAGCTGTGTGGTAAAAATAACCTTATATTTCCATAATGGTATTTTCTCCAGAGACTTGGAACTTCCTTGAATGTTTTAATTATCTCTTTCCTGAATGTCAACGAAGTAGCATGGCACTATATTAAAATAATTTTCTTTGGGTTTCTGCAAGAACTGATTTCTTGCTGAATTAGCATATCAACTGCAAAACCAATTTCCACAGCATCGGTGACCTTATGTCACTTTATGTATTACAGAAGCTAGACAGAAACAGTTTCAGGGCTATAACAGTTTAAAATTATTCAGTATAAATCCACTTATTAAACTGATACATTCAGGGGACAAGCCGCTGAAATTATGGTGCTAATCTGTATGGCTTAAAGTCAGATTTCTGCATTTTTAAATGCCGTACCCACTGACACAGAACCGCAGCGGGTATTAACAGAAAATGGGATGGAACAGGAGGAAATCTGGTCAGGCTGGAGAAAATCCTGGGAGGGAGAGAATGAGTGACAAAGCAGCCAGCACCCCCGGGGTAAGACTACGGGGTACACAGCCCTTGCACTGGGGAACAAAGGGGGTTCCTACCACAGGGAGAAGTGGAGATGGGCACGAAACCCTAGACATGAAAGTTTCAGGGGGTCCTTCAACAAGAGAAGAATATTGAGGTGACATTCAGAAAGTTTGCAGGAAGGGATGGATAAACCCAGCCTCCTCTAGTCCAAATGCAGAACCTATTTGGTCTACAGAAAAACAAAGTGCACAACTCTAGCTATCAAAAGACAAGGTAATATTATTAAGTTATTTAATACTTTTTTCAGTGAACGAAGGTTGCATAAGCCTCTGTGCTTATTAGACATTAGATTTAATTTCCTGTATTACTGAGAAATGGGTGACTTGGAGCCATGCCAGGCTTGGACAGATATAAAATAGGCTATAAATTTACAAAAGGAAAACAGTAGAAGTAGGAACTGCTGCTAGAGGTGTCACTTTAAAATAATACTCTCCCCACCAAAAAACCCATTCCACGCAAAGGCTATTACAATCAGAGGAAATATGCTGTAAAAGCAGTAAGTCAGGAGAAAGTGGTGGCAGAAGATGGGAACTTATTACTGAGTTTATTTGACTTTCATATGTTATTTATGTCTGAAGACTTAATTTTGTGGCTTCAGGATGGGTTCATCCATAGCAAAATATGGTGTCTTCTGATAATTAGCATGGGTGTTATTTATACATTCATGTCTTACTCTATAAGATGCAACATGACTCCATATATTGATAATAAACTTATTGTTATTTATTGTTTCATTTGCTGAAGTGCAAAAAAAAAAAATCAAATCAAATGCTTTATAACCCTTGTGTAATGTTCCTGAATTTCTTGTTTTCCAGAGTGCTTTCCCTCTTTCTTAGAGGCAATATGAAAGACAAAGAGTTTTCTAAAGGAGGATGATCCAGGAATTCTCAACACTGCAAGTTAGTTCCTCAGCATTTTCACAATGGAAAACCACAGGTAAATCTTCCTATCGCTATTCAGCTGATCTAAAAAAATACATTATCTTTACTTTTCCATATACATCTTGTGGCTATTAAGAAATGCAAGCCATTTTTTAATTTCAGCTTTGTTCTTATTCTGAAGGTGCTAAAAGAATAGTTACAAGCTAATTGTATAAAGTACCATAGAATATGCAATGTAATTATATATTTTGATTTTACCTTGCTCAAATTATGATATTCTCAACTCCTTGAGACATAGTATGTGCCTATTGCTAAAGTAATACATAAAAATACTTTGTGATTTGTTAATATCAGTACTAGTAAGGAAAGGAAGCGTTTAACAAACCAACAAATGAATTCTGCATCATAAAGCATCAAATCTTCATTTCTAGAGTAAAGTATATGGTAAGATCTTCCAGAGCAAGATTAAACTAAAATAGGTGTTCAGATAGAGAGAGGCTGTTACCATCTGCAGTCCAGCTGAAGTGAGAGATCATTATGGGTATCCAATGTCATTGATAGTAAGACCCAAGTCACTTCCATATTTGTATTTTTAAGTCAAATATCACTCTGATGAGATATTCAAAATACTTAGCAGCTCCCATTATGCCTGTTCTGGGCCTCAGCCATCTGGATGTATTTCTAGGGTCATAGCCTTTGCTTTCTTTAGGATTCCTACACAGTCAAGTGCCAGCTAAAACGCTGACAAGACAGAAGCGAACTGCTTCAAATATTCACAGCACCACTGAGGTAGGAAGCACCTCCAGAGATCGTCCAGTCCAACCCCCAGCTCAATGCAGAATCACCCAGAGCAGGCTGCCCAGGACCTTGCCTGGTTGGGTTTTGAGTATCTTCAAGGATGCCAACTCCACAACCTCTTTGGGCAACCATATGACAGATCTCCAGTTTCTTAAATCATCTTCATGCCCCTTCCCTGCACTCGCTCCAGCATGTCCATGTCCTTCTAGTCGTGGGGAGCCCAGAACTGGGCACGCTTTGGTCTCATCAGCACTGAGTAAGGGGGATAATCACCTCCTGTGACCTGCTAGCAATGCTTTTCCTAATGCAGCCCAGAAAGCTGCTGGCACTCTTTTAAAATATATATGTTTACAGATATAACAGAATTTTAAGGACATGATTAGTTTTATATTTCCAGGGCCTACTATATACCAGGGTAGTACAAACGGTATCATTCTGCTAATACATGTTTTATGTCAGTATCAGAGATTGTATTTATGCTTTTGTTACATGCTTTTCCTAAATAAGTGGCCCATTAAAAATAGTTGTTTGGGATGACTATATACTGCCTCGTAAAAACATCTGTGCACAGTGTATTTCTAAAGGTGCAAATCTGGGTGTCTTCATAGGAATGAAGGCATCTTGGAAAACTGCAATTCTAAATAATATGAATTCTCAATTTCATCACGTTGTTAGTGTTGAGATCTAAAGACAGCAGATTAATTACCATTATGTTTAACTCAAAGATAACCTTTTGTAGCAGTGACATCCAGCGCATAAACTTCCAGTTTCCAAAAGCACTCCATACTGTTTCAGGAGCCAAAAATCCAGTTCTCCCTCATGTATTGCTGAGAAACTTCCATTTCCTCTACAGCTGCCACAGTGCAACTGTGGACAACACACTTATGTATTGACAACACACAAATTTTCTGTGGAGAAAGGTCCATAGACTTTCCAGTGGGTCCTGAGGCAATGAGATGTTCTACCAGATTTGTTTGTCTTGGCAAGGAAGAGAGCAACGCTGTTCTTGAAAAATCTACATTTAGTTCCTCAACTATAAACAATTCTCATCAGTTCTTCCATCTGCAGTATATGACTTTGTTTGGCAAACAATTTGTGGTGTTTCTTGTTATACATGTCAAATTGTTTCTGTTCTGCATGAGCTATGACGACTTAAAGGACCAAAGTTTTACATGGTGGAAGGAGTTTGTTCCCTCTGAATCCAGTGGTACCCTTAATGCCAGGGTTGGTCCATGATTTCTTTGCATTTCTCATAGTCTGTGACTGCAGAAAACAAGAAAAATTAGGCAAAGCAAAACTCCTTGCCATTAGTGACATACCAATACATGAGCCAATACGCAGTCTAGCTAATGTCCTTTTACCTTCTGGAATAGTTTAAAGCAGGATGCAAAATATTCTTCCAAAAATACACAAAGTCCTTTCCATCCTTTCTCCTATAAAGCTATGCCAAAAGCCCTGGGAAAGCCTTTCAACTCTTCAGCTCACATGCTCAAGAGAAGATTGGGAGACTGGCAAAAAAACACAATATAATTAGGACAATGCTGGGATTTAGATTAACATTATGAGAAGCAAACAGACCCTTCATACCACTCCCAGCTCTCACATATCCGTGCTGAAATGAGATTAAAATTCAGATTCTAGGAAGCAGAGTAGCTCTTCCCAAAACAACATTAGATTAGCCCAGGTGGCCACAACCTGCATGATTTTTCATAGCCTGACTTTCAAAGTGCCTCATAGCTGCCTCTCGGTCTCAGAGATGTTGAATCTCTTTCTCAGCATTTTCCAATGCAGACCAGATGTTGTATTGTGATACTTCTCTCATGGGTCTTTTCCATTTTGACTCTCCATCAGCTAGGGATCCAAAGAGACATTACTTGAAAAACAGGAACCATAAAAGAGCCAGGAACTTATAAATTAAAACATAAACATTAATTTGTTTTCCAAGATACAGATGTCTTTTGTCAGTTCAAGCCTTGATCTCTCCACCAGTTAAAGGCAACAGTTGTGTTCTGTGGAGGCATGCACTGGAAATTAGCCAACGGGCATTAACTTTTGGTTCTGATTGAACTGGGGAAGATTTGAAACAGAAACCCAGAATTAACAGTTGCGATCGTAATTAATGGCTGATGCCATTTTAAAACGTTCATGACATCAATACCAGAAAAAGTGTCTTACCATATGGAACTGTAGGATTATTGAGCCTTTTGGACGGGGCTCGGAAGACTTTCAAGTTGTCTTTGGTGATGGCAGGGGCCTTTCTTTCTCCTTACCTTGCTGATTTTCTATGCACAGGGACCAGGATCTGTCTCTGGGGAAGTGGATCCTATGGTGGTGACTAATGCAAGCAGTAGTGGGGTTATGGCAATGTGGCACCACCACAGCTCCGGAGAAAGGGACAGGGCTAGAAGAGGAAGGGACACAAGGCAGAGACAGTACAGGTGCAGAGTAGTGGAACAGGCTGATACCACAGACATGAAAATGTAAGTAAGTAACTGTATACTGTAAATAACTATTCTGGTAAAATACTACAGTAACATCAATACTGTTCTTTAACAGTCTCTACAGCACTGTACCCTTGCAGAAGTTAACTGCAAAGACAAAACACTGTCTGGTCAATAAAACATGAACTTTGGTATGAAGGATTGGCTCTGGTGAGTTTATAAAGAGGTAGAGCAAAAGCTTTCCTCCTTTTGATTAAAAAGACGAATCCGCTCGAAGCATAAGCCACCTAGCTGCAAACACCTACCCTGCTGAAAATCAAACATAAAGTACTACGCTAAAATTACATACCAAAGTTGGAATTCGAATGTCATTATGAAGACACAGATTTAAGAGAACACTTTCATATATTACAAACACAAGTGCTCAGAGTTCAACTGCATATATTTAATTTTGTAGTAACTAACACATCAAGCCTTGTTTTCAAATGGCCATTGAAAATCTTTCTATCTTTTTAAATGTTGAATCACTTGATATATCAGTATTACGACATCTCTTAACATTTTGATATCAATAAAAATATAATATACAAAGATTTAAAATAGTAGAAAGGCTAGAGGCAACCAAAGAAAACATTTACAAAAACGTGCATAATAAAGAGATAAGGATGAAGACTTCCTTTCTTTTCTAACATGACCTACATGTGCACTAATTTTTTATCTTTAAAAAGTAGCAATTCACAAGTCACACCTCTTCATTCCCTTTCAAATCAATTTTATACACCTACACAACTCTTCTGCCAGTGGATTACTGCAAGTTCACATTTAAACTCTGAGTTTCCAGTCCTGCTGTATTTTCTTGATAAAATCTATTAGTACATGAGATTCGTATTACTCTGCAACTGTTAGCAATTAACCCTCTGTTTATGATACACTGCAACTGAACATTTTATCGTACATGTTAGCAGAGGAATGTACAACAGGTCACTCTTTAGTGTCCTGATGTCGTCATTTTCCTTCCCTCTCATATGGGCATATACAAGCAACTATAATTTCTAATACAATCTAATATAAAAAAGTATCACTGAATGCTTGCCCTTGCCTTACACTCCTCCAGAGACTTCTGCTTTTACCAACACTGGCTTTTTCTAGAGCCTTCTGCTCAGAATAAGGAAGTAGTCTGTGCTTCATACCAGGGGTTGTCCTTTCTCTGTACTACAATGAATTCACTTGGTGGAGCAGGGATTCTGAGCAATCATTATTCCCTCTTGGACACCTCTGGAATAAATTCTTGCTTTCCAACACCCTTTTAGTACAAGCTTTACATATTCATTTTCTTTTCCTAGGCTACAGCTTCTTCTCTTGATTTCACATCATACTAATATCTGTCTGTACTCCTCTTGTTGAATTGTTCATGCTTCATTATTTAAGTGCAGGGAATTGTAAGTAGCTGTTCCCACTTCATATGCTCTTCCCTTGAGGGGTGAACTAGCACCTGCTGTTCCCTGTCTCTAGAGGAAGAAACACCTTCCACAGAAAGGAACCATGAAGCTCCTTTCATGGCTTCATTTCACACTAAGAAAGATTTTTATTTTTATTGTGCATGCTGGTTCCAGCAGAATTTGCTTTCAGGTAAAAATTTTAGTCCTGTATATCACTAAAGTCTTAATATTCTCTCCCTTAAGGAAGAGACTGAGGTCAAAATTGAGAATATGCATTTTTCTCAAAGGTTTTTCCCTCAAAGATGCCCTTCACCAAAACCTTAGAATTCTACTTCCAAAGAGGTTTTGGATTGCTATGAGAAACAAAAGGAGTCAGTCAGGAACTCTCAAGCGTCCACAGGCATTTCTGTGAATTTTTAAATAATATGCTGGTAATGTGCATTTATAGTTTTATCTGTTAACTTATTAAGAACGGTGACTTTTTTAGATCTATTTATGTTACGAATGAATTGTGTTTATGAAATTCCCAGACTACTGAAGGATGAAAATCTAAGTCTTTAGATTCAATATGAAGTAAGCAGTTGTTTTAAACTACACTGTGAAGTGGCAGATGTACACTCACTTTTAGAGGTAATTTTAAGTATTAAACTATATTGTATCTGATATGTCTTTAAATCTCTTGACATGAACTAGGAAATTCTTTCCTGGCTTTGCGATGTCCAGATCATGAATGTTTGTCTCATTTTAATCACTGTGCTTAGTCAGACATTCGCCTGTAGGAATAGCAACCTCTGTTCTCCTCCCAACAAAGGGGCTGGTATGGCACCCTATTCACATGCCATATTCCTCTTTACTCTTCTCCCCCTTTCCAAGCAAGCCACTCTGACCAAACTTTCCCTGGGTATGCTACCTTCACAGGAAAAAAAAGTGGTTACATTCGCAGTTAGAGATGTAGGATGTCTTTTGAAGAGTAGATTGGATTTAAGCACATACCCATCTCCTGCTTAAAATTCACACAGATCTAACTTGCAAATTCAGTGAAGAGCCGCTCTTTTCTACTATTGCCACTCAAAACTCCTACTGGGATCATTCTAAAACCTTAAAATAAAGATCATATTCTCATATTCATTATGTTTGTTTCTCAGGATGTTACATTGCTTAAGACATTAATCTTTTTGCATGGAGTGTAACTGTCAAATGCCAACCTAAGAAGTAAAATGGAGCTACAGATGGTTTAGCATGGAGGCACTTCTGCCAAACTTTCCCTAGATGTCGCTACACTTTCTGGCTACTTTATTATTAAATGGAAAACTCATATAGTATGTTTCCTAATTTTTTCATAGAGAAGAAATAGAAAACTATCATACAGTAACCCAATTTCTTCAGAGTGACAAAAAGATATTCGAATTATATGTATCTACTATTCTATATAATATATATAAAATATTCTACTAATGTCATACTGAAATCTGAAAATAGCTTTTATCACAGGCTTGTTTTCATGCTCTTTTTACCTTTCTAACACTCTTCCTAGCAAGTACGTTGGCTCATTGAGTCTGGAGTTGCTTGCCCTTTTCCATCACTTTGTGCTGAAACCAAGTATCTCCTCAAGGATATTCCCAAAGCTTCCAGACTCAGTTTTCATGCATACATTGCTATTCTTTCAGTCTTAACAATTTTTTCAAGGAATGTCCTTCTGCCCTTATATGATTTTGCCACCCAGACTCATTTATAATACACAAATGCTACAGGAAACTATTCTGGGAATTCAAGGCAGAATTCAGGCTTGTTAGTGTTTTAGCTGATTCAGACTTAAAACAGAATTCTGGGGACAACATCCTTGTTTCCATCCCTGTTTATCACCTCTCTGTAATTCACTATTTCTTATCTGTGGAAATAGTCTTCAAAAAGCATATGCCGATTTCTACAGATGAATGAAGTTTCCATATTTTCCAGCAATATGAAGACTCTCCATTTTCTTGCAAAGACTACCAAAATATCTTCAGATTTTTCAAGTATTTCAAATCTCAGTTGTGCTGAAGTAGTCATTGATTGGTTGTCCACAAGATGGGGCTTCTACAACGGAGATCTTTGTATCCAAATTTAAGATTCTGATGCAAAAGCTATGAATGGCATCACAGTTGACAGAAAAGCTTTTAGCCCATACTTTCAAATTGTGGCACAGGAACAGTCCTCACAAAAGGAACCCCACTCCTCATTTCTTGCATAAAAACAATAATCCCTCAGGAAATCAAAACAGCAGCAAGTGATTTTACCTTGTCCTTAACCCTTGCACTGTGCTGGTGTACAGCTTATGATTCAGAGGCAATACGCACCATGACAATCATCCTGTGTCTTGCAGAGATTCTGTAAGGTCATCTACTTCTACACGAGCTTTTGTGGAAAAGTACACAGTCCAAAACACCAAATGAAGTGTATGTTGTTTTGAGACATTTCCTAAGTCAATATGTAGCCTAATATATGAATTTCTAAAGCAGTCTGCAAATCTACTGTTAGGATGTTCCTGTTAAGATGGTAACACCTCCAAAAAGAAGTTAGAGAAAGTAGCTCCACAGAGTCTGTAATTTCTATAAACGTAACTGAAAGAGGGAAAAGTTTGCTGTTACAAAAACTAACCGTCAGACAACAGAAGTGTTCGAGCATGCAAAAGCAAATACTGGTACAAATTTCCAGCCTGCTCTCCCTCCAAGAGGAGGGTGCACACACATGGACTATTCAAAAAGTAAAACTGAATCTTAAGAAGAGGAAACACTTCTGGCCAGGTGGTAAAGTTAATTTCCCAAAGACTAACTCCTCCCCAGTGCCAGAGGCAGTCATTCACAATCACCTAATACTTTTTGTACAAAATCTTCAGTGGTTCCTCCTCACATTCCTTCTGTTCAGTATCCAGTAACTTGTCTTCTGCAATTCAGCTAGCTAAGCCGTCACAGACCAGAGTTTCAACAGGAAGTGCAAAATAGTACCCTTCAGAATAATCATCTGGAGAAGCATAAAATAAGAAAATCTGAGTAGGCAGGAATTACATGGAGAAGGATAGGGAGTGACAGCGTGCTACGAACAGAGGTCAATGATGTTGTATTATGAAAAAGGAAGCACACTAAGTTTGATAGATGGCATTTTTGCACGTACTAAATAATATTCTTTTTACTCAACACTGAGGTTTTAACTGGAGTGCTCTGTCCAGCTTTGGATGCGACACTGAAAAAGTGGACCAAAGAAAGAGTCTGCAGGACAGTGAAACATATGGGAGATTTACAAATCATGATCCATAAGGAAAGACTGAAACAAAGCAGCATAACAGTCTTCAGATATCTAAAATCACTGCAGTAATGCAGACAGGACGTGTAATAAAGAGTTTGACTTGTAGCAATCTTAGACAATAGGAAAAATTTTGAAATTGCAAGGGATAAGAACACAGTACCTACAGATGTCATTCAGTATCCAGAAACAGTTTCAACAGTTTTCTGTCAAGGAATGACAGACACATAGGTGATCTTA